TTTTTTACATTTCTTTAAAAAATCTCTATATTTACTATTTGAAGATTTTATATATAATTTATATATAAATCTTGTATGTAATCTGCATCACATAGCTCTCCAGATGACTGGTAAATCATCTATTAAATTATTTATAAGATAAAAATATACTAATTTAAAAAAAAATTTTAATCAAAAAGTTATCTACTTATTCTTAATAAATGCTTTAAATATTAATTTTAAAGCTATAGTTCTTAATACAAATTATAGCTTATATAAAAGACTTTTAATTTTTATACATGGTGATATAAAATTATATTTTTGATGCATGTGGTTTCAAAATAGTTATCTTTTTGATATAATCACATAAACATTATGAAGATCATATCAGAAATATAATTTGAAAATTTTTTGTCTGTCTGCACATGTGTTTAAATTTATAATTTAGTATAACAAAAATATGCATATTTATATGTTGTGTTATACAATGATCATTATATACTCCAGACACACAATGCTATGCATTAGCCTAGTTTATATTAAACAGACATAATTAAATATTTAAACAAATTTTGTTTTCAATAAAATTTTGTAAAAAATATACTAATAAAATATGTAATAAACTATTGTTTAAATGCTTAAAATATTCTATAAACTATATAAATAAACTAATAAACCTATAAAATATATAATAATAATATAAAATTTATAATAAAATTTAAGAAAAATATTAATAAAATTTTGATTAAAAATACTAATAAAAATTTATCTATATTACAATAATTTTTATTTTCAAATACAGTATTATTAAAAAAAATTATATTTAAATATCTTAAAAATTAAAAAAGTAGATTATAAGTATATTTATAATAAACTTTTAGGCAAATTTGCCTAGAAAACCTCTACAAATTAAGGGATAGTTTATCCAAAAAACTATTTTTTAAAAATTTACTTTTATATAATACTTATTACTGTATATTTACTATATTTTAATCATTTATTCAAATACAAGATCAATTGTTTACTACCCGAAAATACCGATAGTGCTTTCTTTCACAGCTTAGCAAATGTAATTATTTTATTTATTTTTATTTCGTTTTTATCTCATCTTGAAACAACTTAAAGAACTATATCAAGTAGTAGCAAAAATCCGTGTAAAAAAAGACCCCTAAAAATCAAAATCGGCTGAAATGATGATCCTGATACAAATATACGTACGTACGTTACAGAGCACATAAAACATGTATTTTATACGTAGCCTTAAAATATATGTAGTAAATTATATACGTAGCTACAAATAGATGTATGGAAAAAAGTTTTATTTTCTTGCACAGCAAAATAAATACACTAACGGATATATATAAAACCCCCGTTTTGGGGGTTGATTTTATCATGTTCACACCCTAACCCTAACCCTAATTTAACCCACTTACATATACGTATACGTATATATTGTATAATATATATATACATATATGTATATATATATATACATATGTAGATATATTGTATACGTAATATATGTACGTACGTACGTACGTACGTATATATATGATACGTATTAATTATACATCAAAACAAATTGAAATGAATTAAAAAGATTTTAACGTTAATGTGCGAATTTTTGTCCATAAATTTAAAACATATACGATTTGCGCACATATTGTTAAGGTACGGAAAAACATCAATGATCATTGGTATGTACGCACGTTCATACGAACGTACGTACGTACGTACGAATGACTACGTATTCTTCCCGATCGACTAAAAGCACGCATTCTGTTGTATTAAGAATTCTGTTTTTAGACTTTCCTGATTTTCACTTGGTGTTATATATCGTTTAGCACTTCTAATCGTTATACATAGTATCTCCTCATGATTAAGATCCGGAGGATTTTCTCCGAAACTATCAGCCTAATTTCTTGGGGGCATATTTATATTAATATAAATGTATCCAAATATAGTATCCACTTCTAAAAAATGAAAGTTTTGAATAAAGTCCTTAGGATACTATTGGCAGTGCTAAATGGTATATTAGTTTTTAATTGCATTGTAAAATCTTTTTTGATGATTGAATAATACAACGGTGAGTCATAATAGTATCACTCATACATCACTATATATTGAAAATAGTAAAGACAGAAAAAAAAAAGACGACGTTTATAGTATTTAGAATATCTCTTGGGTATCACCATGCAGAAATCCGCTGACAGATGAAACTCACCTGAAAGAGTATCAAGCTTCACTATAAAGTGATATAATTTTACAAAATTCTAGTAATTAAGATCAAACAATCAACATATTTTTCCTAATGACTTGTTAAAGTAGTTGTCCCATTCTTTATATCATTTACCACTTCGCGTAATAAATAATACAATAAAAGGATGCGACGATTACCAATGAACAAACTTTAATTGAGAATATTTTTTTTATCAATTTAAGGAATGGACAAATTTGATTTGTTCACGTATTAAAGCATTTTATAGCAAAGTGTGTGTAATATTTGAGAAAACTTTGTTAAAAATTGATGTTACCAGTACAAAATTTGAAACTTCGAATTTGTCAATATCGAATGTACATTTTTTCTGGTGCATTTAACTTTTATCATTATACATACTTTTTCAAATAATTATTTTTTTTTAGCACTTATTTATTTTTTTGAAATAAATGATTTAGTTTAAAAGAAAGAACAAAAATAGAAATACTCTTTTATGCATAACAAAAATGATTGCGCAAGAAAATTAAAGATTTGTACAAAGAAAAATAATTAAAATAAAACTCGAGAAAATTACACTATATGCAAAACAAAATTATTATAATTTTTTTTTTTTTTTTTTTTTTACGTAAAAATTTTTTTTTTAGAAAAATTTCATTTTTTAAAATAGTAGCTTTAAATGAGTAAAATTATAAACATTTTTTTTTTTTTTGAGGTGTATAATAAGTATTTACTATTTACTATCAGGATATTCCATAGTCTATATTAGCATATTAACTATCTGCTATCTTTATCCCTTATTAATATATACAATAATTGTGGATCATACATAAATGTAAAGTGATCCCAATCAAAAAAGAAAAACAAAAACCAAAACTATAATAATAGCACACTAGAAACAATAAATTACTTTTCGTGATGCTTCTTATAACGTACATTCATAACAAGTCTAGACCCCAATTCTTCAGAGAGTCGAGACCTAAAAAAAATAATAATAATGTTTCAATATTAGATTTTAATTGCAAAATATTTGTAAAAATCATCAATATTATAAATATTATAAATATACTAACTTTATATTTTCGACATCCTCATTAGTTATCTGACTACCCATCCATATTTCAACGCGGTCACCTCGGCTACGACGAGCACATATAGCACCGCAAATATTGTCACTGCTATCAAACATATCTCCTGCAAGGAGCATAACAATTGTATCCCACATGGAATCTAATTGTTGCCTAGGAGGGCATAAGGTTAATTTACCACCCTATTATTATATTAGAAAATAATTTATTAATTAGATAAATATTAAATAAATAATGTAATAATCGTGTAATAATTTTAATAATTGTAAATGAGGAAATTATTAAATTTACCCCTTCATTGCGTTCATCTTCCCACATTGGTTGGATGTCATCCTTAAAGAAATTTAGATTTGAGTCACTTTTCAAATCACTAGGCTTGAGATACGAAGACAATTTCTTATATTGTTCACATAATTCGGGTACAGTCGAACAACTAAATACTGGAGTTAATGTGGACGAATATCTTCTGGATGTCAATCTGGAATTAGTTTTAGAGGACGAGATATCAACATAATACATTGTCCTATACAAATGGTTAATAGTTTGAACAAATGGTTAATGGTTTGAACAAAATGGTTAATGATTTAAATTTAAAATTTAAAATTCAAATTTAAAATGTAAATTTAAAATTCAAGTAAATTTAAAATTTAATTGAATTATAATAATTCATAATAATTAAGAATATTACATACCAAGAATTGGATAAAGGAAGTTCTACAGGGTAAGGAGCTTCCCGAATAATCTTTAATTGATGACGAAGACGCATTGCTTCGTATTCTTCTTCTTTTTTTTCAAGATTGAGAGTTTGTAAATAGTCATCAATAGCATCAAGTTCAGGACAATGTTCGGGACAATGTTCGGGACAATGATCATCTTCCGAATGGATTTCGTCGGAATTTAAATTGGATTCAATGACAAATTCACCACAAGATTGTTCGAAATCACTGTCATCCTGAACATGTGATTCGATATGTTGATCTTCGGAATCACTTAATTGCTTTATATCATATTCATTTAATGTTGAACAATCGGATATTTGACTATTTTGTATCGCAATTAAAGTCTCATCTTCTTCAATCACTGGTGATAAATGTTCAGGTGATATAGATCGCTCTGATATATAATATGGATTACCATTTTCTTGCTTATAAGGGATTTCATCGATGTATTGATCATCTATATGATCATCATTAATGGAATTAGCTTTGAATTCGGGAGATTGATTGAATGACGATGGAGTGGAATAGGTTGATGATGAAATGATTGCTTTGTCAATAGTTTGTATAGAAGTTGTTGATAATATAGTATTCATTGATTCAGCATAAGTTGATGTTGTTGAAAGTACAGACATTGAAAAGGAAGTAGATGAAATTGTAGAATGTGGTGATGATAAAGAAGATCGAGGCAATTCCAATCCATCTTCATCAGCATATTCTTCTTCTTCAACAAAGTTTGTAGGAAGATTTTTGGTATCAATACTTGGTACAGGAGTTTTTGAATGACCTTTCAATTGTTTATTAGAATTAGCCGGTAATTTAACCATTAAACCATCAGGGGTCAAATCCAATTCTGATGAAGAAACTATTTCAGTTTCTGATAATTGAAACATATCATTTGAACAATTTTCGACCATAATAGAGTTATTATTGAATCTATTAACTTCATTGACATGATAGCAACCATGAGGAGGCAAGTTCACATCAAAAGAAGAATCTTGTATATTAAATAATTGTTCATTAGGAAAACATGTAGTTGTAGATTGGACTTTGGAATTTATTTCAAAAGTAGAAGAGGTTTCATCAAGAAAACAATCAGGGGTACTTATATTTGATTGAACTTCTTTTACAGTCTCAGATGGCACGTGATCACGAGACTTATGTGATAATTCTTTTGGACATATGCTAGATATGTCAAAATGGTTTTCTAAAGAACCTCTATCAAATGATAATTGTTCATGAGGATTTATTTGATTGTTGGAAACCCATTCTTGTGTTATATAATTTTTATAATCACAATTTAGGTTGTTGAAATTTCCAGTATTATTAACAGATTGAATTGATGGAACATTTGATGGAACAGTTGATGAAACATTTGATGAAACATTTGAGGAGGATATTTGCCCAGACTGAGACCGTAAGACATAATCAGGACATGCCAAACACGTCGAACACATCGAACATGCAGAATGAGAAGCCATTGAAATCACCATTGGGTTTCCACATTCACCAGAACTAGGGTATACCAATACAGGATAATCCATACCAGGAAGGTTGATAACGAAATAATCCGGTATAATTGCAGGAAGCTGATCGATTTCATTAGCATTACTTTGATTGATAATATCCTTTTTAGATTCCATGACTATATAATCCGCAGGTTTATCAGGATAAATAATCTTTATCATGATCTTGCCTATTTCATCTATTTTTATAACACGATGAAAACGGTGAATGGAATTACAATTTGGAGGTAAATTTATCTCAATTAGGGATGACTCGTCAACAAGTTGTTTTTTTTCCCACGAGCATTCAGTAATTGAAGAATCATTTCGAATTTGATGAATTTGATGAATTTGATTATGGAGAACTTTAGGTTGTTTAGATATTGGAAGGTCATTACACCGTGGTATATAATTGTTTAAAACAGGTAGACAATTTTCGGAAGGATAATTTTCAGCGGAGCGGAGAGGCACTAGGCAACAATTTTGATCCTTGCAAGCGATAGGTATACTTGACGTCACGGTCGGATAGGCTAATGAACGTAAACAAATTCGAAAGAACGAAATGGAACAAAAATCATCAATACATCACTTGAGAGCGTAAATGAAAAGCGCATACAATATTAAAATAATAAAACCAAAAGAATGAATTTAAAATAAACTAAAAGTATATGTAGCTAACACGTTTATTTGTCTATATTTAAGTTAAGAAAGAAGGAAAAAGTTAACATACCATTTTTTCCTTTTTTTCCCTTAATTTTATTAGCATTTTTAGACTTTTTCTTGAATTTTTTATCGTTCGCAAATTCTTCAATTTGAGAACTATTTAAATTATGGTGAGGGAACTTTGGACTATTTGTCATTCTCAATAACTACGAAAAAGATATTCACTAATTCGTGTTAATGAAAGATAAAATTTTTTAGGAAAAGAAATGGGTATAAATAGAAAAATTTAAAAAGGTTCACGTCAAAAAGAAAAGTAAAAAAGGATTAAATATAATGGTTTTTGAGGGGAGTAACTTTAAAAAACTTTTATTAATAACTTTATGATTTTTTTCTTTTGTTTTGAACTTATGCGATAAATAAACTTGAAAATTTTTCGTTATCACCAAATTTAAAATTTGAGGTTAAATTGAGGTAGTTGGGTAAATCAAGGTTTATAAGTCAAAAAGCGGGGATTTATTTTTTATATAATCACCCAAAAAATCTGGGTTTCGATTTTATATTAAATATTTATTAAAATTTTAAAAATATTAAAAAATATATATACTTTATTTTATATACGTATGTACATATGTTATGTATGTACTAGTTCTGTTAGTTTGAACTATGTATATTTAAAAATTGAAATAAGGTTTTTTTATACTTAAAAATATGTACGTATGTATGTATGACCAACATGACCTTATGAGCAATATGAGCAACCGGATCAGTGTCCGGTTTTTTTCGTAAATTCGTGAACTTGGTAATGAGTATTATTTAGTATATATTTTAAATATTTATTAAAGTAAGTATTTAAAGTATTTAGTAAATATTTAGATTAAGTATTTAGATTAATTATTTAGAGTAAGTATTTAGAGTAAGTATTTAGAATAAGTATTTAGAGTAAGTATTTAGAATAAGTATTTATAGTTTATAAAAGACTTACAGAATTTATACGTATATTATACACGAAATTTATATAAGAATTTATACAAGAATTTATATGATACCATTACTTTAAATTTTTATGGGTCACTTTTTTACTAATTTATATTTATAAGGTATAAAAATAAATGTTGTATACATACATATGTACATACATTTATCTCTCACACTTCACAAATTCACAAAACCGTTTCACCAATACTAAAAGAAAAAATATGATTAGCTTTCGTACAAGAGTTAGAACCGATGCCGTAGTACAAGGGCAGGTTTGTAATAATAATCCCGCAAACATTGAAAGGTTTCATAAAAAATTAAGTAAATTGGATAATTTAGGGATAGTTTGTACGTGGATGGCGTGTCAAACGACGATGTGTTAAAAACAATGTGTATGTGTTAAAAAAACGATGTGCAAAAAAAACGATGTGCAAAAAAAAACGATGGGTTATATTTGAACTTTATTTAAATAAAGAAGAATACAGAAAAATACGGACAATAACGGAAGAAATTAGTTAGTTCGGAATTGTCGATTACCAAATGATGATTTCAAATGATTCCTTTCAATGATGATTCCCTGGTTACTCTGTGATTTGTTCGTACGATTGTCACCATTTTGCATCACCATTGAGGTGTATGCTGTATATTAAGATAGAACACATCTGAATAGCATAAATCGTAGATTGATATTACATAAATGGAATTAATTATTTGTATGGTAAAATATAATAATTTTTATCGAAACGAAAAACAAAGAATAAACGCGTGCATGATATTTATTGGATTCGCGTTAAACTATCCGAATTATTATAATTATTAGAATTATTATTTATTATTAATACATACATGTTGATCAAATATGATTTAGCGGATAGACAGGGTATGACCGTATATAAAATTACAGCTAATCATTATAATTATAAATAAATTATGACAAAGAAGATCCGATGTACAAATTCAAGCATGAAACAAACGAAAGTTGACTTGACTATTTTAAAGGTGATCTAAAAAAGTTGGTTTGAACTTTTTTCAAAACAATTTACAACAATTTAGAAACTTTGTTCAAATTCGATACAAGATTATCTTAAGTAACAATAACAATAACATTTTGTTACAAACATACACTTTTTTCAAATTATCACATCATTAATTAATTAATTAATTGATCTTGTGAACTTTTTTGTGACATCAAAAATCAGTAACATGACACGAAACAAAAACATTAACCTTAAAAGTGCCTTAAAAGTGGTAAAAATATATATATATTATTTAAACTGCTAAAGTTGCTAAAGTTGCTAAAGTTTCTAGAAAGGAAGTTTAGCGATCAGATGATCAAAGCCAAGTTAACGATAATATAACGATAATAACAATAATAACGATAATATAACGATAATAACGATAATAACGATAATAACGATAATATAACGATAATAACGATAATATAACGATAATAACGATAATAACGATAATAACGATAATAACGATAAGAATTAATTTATATATATACCCCAAGCATATATATAAGTATATATAAGTATATATATAAGTATATATATAAGTATATATATAAGTATATAGATAAGTATAGATAAGTATATATAAGTATATATATGCGATAACAATAGTATAAGCTGTTTTTTTTTATGATTTAGAAAGAACATTAGAAGATTAGTTTCTTTATAGAAAATCATAACCAAATATACAATTTATAAACTCAGATT